AGGCAGGCAGCCTGGAATATGAGACATTGTCTGAAAAAGTTGACTTCAGGCTTAAATATACATACCTCAGGAAAAAATAAAGCAGAGATGGAGCTTCTCTGGTTGATGGAGTAGAGAGGTTTGTACTACTGCTGGCTCCAGAGTAGATGACTGTGGGGCTGGAGATGGCTCAGTGGTGAAGAACACTGGTTGTTCTTTTAGAGGACCAGGGTTCAATTTCCTGCACCCATAAGGCATCTCACAACACAACAATCTGTAATTCCAGTTGCAGGTGACCCTAGACGCTTCTGGCTTCCATGGCCACTAGGCAGTCACATGGTACACATACATATGCAGCCAAAACACGTGTACCACAAAATGATAAGAAAATTTAAACTGTAGATGACCAGAGGGCCAGGAATGGTCCCCTAGATCTTTAATTCTAGTATGAGGGAGGCAAAGGCAGGTGGATCTCTGAGTTCAAAGCTCTCCAGGGCTACAAATAAACAGGATGTCAGCCAGGGGGTGGATGTACATGCCTTTGATCCCAGCAGAGGCAGAAACAGGTGGATCTCCGTGAGTTCAAGGCCAGCCTGCTCTACAAAGAGACTTCCAGGACAGGCAAGGCTACATAGAGAAACCCTGTCTTGAAAAAGCAAAAAACCAAAACAAAACAAAACAAAAACAAAAACAAAAAAATGGTCTCTACATAGCCCTGGCTCTCCTGGAACTCACTTTGTAGAGTAGCCATAGCCCAACGCTGAATTCAAAGAAACCTGCTTATCTCTGCCCCCAAGTACTGGGATGAAAGGTGTGCGCCACCACAGGCAGCAGTAGATACCCTTTCAAGTTAGAATTTTCAGAAATGATTTTTTGTCTGTGTTTTGTGTATGTGAGGTCAGTGGGCAACTTGCAGGAGTTGGTTTTCATCTTTCACCATTTAGTCTCCAAGGATTGAATTTAGGTTGTCAGTCTTGGTGGCAAATGCCTTGACCAGCTAAGTCATCTTAGTAACCCAGAATTAGGAATTTTAACTGTATTTTGGAAGAGGGTGCTGAGGATTGAACTTCTTCCCAGAGCCTCACATACACTGCTCTATGACTGAATGACATGCTCAACCCAGGACTTTTTATTTTGGAATACTGGAAAGTAAAATACATTCCTAGAATTTCTTTTTGGTACTTGGGGGTAGAGGTTGAAGCCAGGGTTTTGTGCATGCTAGGTAAACACCTCACCTTTAAGTTGTATCCCCAGGCCTTCATATTTTTCTCTCTTTTGTGTATTCGAGTGCAAATGCATGTGAGCCACAGCAAGAATGTGAAGGTCAGAATGCAGCTTGTGGGAGTTGGTAGCTTCCTTCCACCATGTGTGCCTAGGGATGAAGCAGGCTCCTTACACACTGAGTCACCTTACTGGCCGTAGGATAGTCAAATACATTTACTTATTTGTTTATCTATTTGTTTATTTATGTATTTATTTATTTGTGTGTGTGTGTGTGCACAAGCTACACGACATGAATGTGGAGGATAGAGAATTACTTGTAGAAGTAGGTTCTGTACTAGCAGGTGGGTCCCTGAGATGGTGCTCAGGTCATCAGGCTACAGCCACTCTTACCCACTGAGTAAGCTCAGTTTCCTCTCTTTAATATGAGATCCTTAAAGCTCATCAGGCTGGGGTATACATCTCAGTGACATAAGCACTTACATCCCATGTGTGAAGCCCTGGGTTCTATCTGCAAGCATGGTTGTGTGGGGGTGGGGGAATCTAGCTGAATCATTGAAGCAAATAACAGATAGAAAAAGTATCTTTTGTCCTTGATAATATCTTTGAATTTAGTTAATACTGCATCATGGACTTGCAGGAAATCTGTATTATAACATCAGGAGCTTCTAAAAGATTTGTGTTAGTTATATAATTCTTGGGGGAGAAAGAAAATGTGAACAGCACATGATTTGTGATTTCATGTTAAAATGCAGCTTAGAAGATTTGGGATTTTATTTCCCAATAGAGACTTTTCCTAGAATTCTCACTGGATCCAATCTCTGAAGGCCAGGGAAACTGTTTTCCATGACATCACTCTTAGACTACTACTTGTAGTAAGGAATAAGTAAGGGAGAATTAAAGATGAAAAATAGCATTGAAACAGATGGGTTTTATAGGATGAGTAAATACTAAACATACCTGCAAACTGAAGTAATTTGGATAATAAGTGCCAGTTTTGAGGCTGGAGGACTAGATCTTTCTTATTAGTTTAAGTTGCTATTCACAATTTAGTACTGAGTTATAAAAATATTTTGGTGACATGAGATTCAGTATTAAACAAATATGCAGTCATTTCTCCCACATTCAGCTTGTGTTCTTTTCCAGTTTGAGTGTAGTATATATTTGAGGGTAAATGGAATGCCTATTAGAGTTCAGAAAAAATCCTGATTTCTAAATTTTCTTTTACCATCAATAATATTGAGAAGTGGCTGCTTTGAGATTGTTGAATTTAAGATTATTGGATAGATTATAGAAATTGTATAAGATTTTATGATTTGCAAATTCTATTTCTTAAAAAAATACTAAGCTTTTCATTTTCCTTTCAATATGCAAGTTTGGCATTTCCTGTATAGATGCCATTTTTGGTAGAACAATTTGATAGTGAAGGCAGTATAGAATCATTTACATTTTTCATTAAGGATAAACATTAACCTTTTGAGTGTCTAGTTTTTATACTGAACAGCTTACAGGTGTTTTTCTTTCAGTGTTCGGCAGCTTTGGGAGGAATATGAAAGCAATAAATTACTGCTTATGTCATAAACATGGAGGTTAGCTGGTTTTGAAACATCTTCTATTTAGTTGTTTATTTTGTCTTCAGATTAGAATGGTAGCCTTCTAATTAAAGGGGAAGCATTTAATTTCTGTGCCTTTAATTTCCTTACAATTTTACCCCCACAAGACTTAATTTTTTTACTAGTCACTGGAGAGTTTGAATTGTTAGAAATTTTTGTGATATAAATAGTCTTCCAAGGCAGAGGTGTGTGTGTGAATGTGTGTGTTTTGTGTTGTCACTTATCTCTTATCTTCCCTTAACTGATACTTGAGCAGCCCCAGAACCTCTTTATATCTCTTAAAATTTAGTTGGATTCTAAACAACGTTGGTTTATGTGGGTTGTATTGATTTATGTAGAAACTGATGCTAGGGAATTCAGAAGTATTTGTAATTCTTTTGAAAGTTGTCCCCCTTAAGGTTACATAAATTACGGTTTTGAATGAAAAATACACATCTTCTAGAAAATTAAGATCCTAAAGTCAGGTATAGTGGCTCATGCCAGTAATCCCAACACTTGGGAGATTGAAAAAGAATGTTTTAAAAGTCAGCCTGGACTAGAGTGAAACCCTGTCTCAAAAAACACAGAACAACAATCCTTGATAATTAGATTATTGCTGATCATATTTTTCCTTCTGTAACATTTGGTTTAAAAAAAACATGACTGATATTCACATTCTTTATTCTCCTTAAACAAAACTTCGAAAATCACAGAGGGAAGGTAAAAGAAATAACTTTTTGAGAGAGGAGGCTCTGGGCATTGAATTTAAAAAACTCATACATGCTAGGTAAGTGAGTTAGCTCTTAGCTACATATCCTAATCCTTAGAACTATTTTTTGTTAACCCCAAAGCTTTTGAAATCTTTTTAGAATAATTTTGACCTTGATAAGGCCTTTCAGGTGACTGTGACCCTAGTTCTCTCTAGACCATATCATATGCACAAAGACATGAATCAGTGTCTCTCTTTCTTCCCCCACCCTCCCATCCCTTCACCCCCCCCTCGTGTGGGTGTGTGTGTGCGTGCCTGTGTATGTATACACTGGGAATTCAACCCTGAATCCAGGGCCCTCCACCACTGAGGTATAAATTACATCTCTAGGCTCCCCTAGCCTTTGTCAATGCCAAGTTGATAAAGCAGATACACTGTTCAGTATTTCTTTCCTAGGAGTATAAGCATGCCTTGTAATTTTGTCTGATTTAGGTTTATTCCTCTTTTGGAAACAATCTATTTTAAATTCTGAAGGCCAAGTATAGAATATGTACACATTAAGTTTATAAGCCATAATTTTACCCTAATCTGAAGATACATTATGGGAAATGAGGATATAGAATTTCTGAACATTTAACATTTTATGTTAGTAATTTTTTTTTCTCAAAAGTCCCTTACTGGATATTTTCCCAGTCCTCATTGATCATAGAATTAAATATTTAGGTTTAGTGCTATACTTCTTATAATTATTTCTTTTTAAAATTGGTATAATTCTGTAGAGAATTTTTATGTAAGATTTTTTTATATTTCCTTTTTTATACTCTTAATTTTGCTTTTCTTAGTTATTTAATTTACTTAAATGTGTGTTTTTGTGTTACAGTTTTTTTTCTGTTTGTGTTTAAACCTTGCCATTCTAAGTCTTTCTTTTTCTTTGTAGTGTCCAGGGTATGGATTGTGAACAAGTTGGTTTTGTTTCACGTGGTCATTTGTAAGTTTAGTTATTTGATGCCGCAAATGTTGATCTTTTTATTTATTTACTTATTTTGGTTTTTTGAGACAGGGTTTTCCTGTATTGCTTTGGAGGTTGTCCTGGAACTCACTCTGTAGACCAGGCTGGTCTTGAACTCACAGAGATCCGCCTGCTTCTGCTTCCCTAGTGCTGGGATTAAAGGCATGCACCACCAACGCTGGGCTATGTTGATATTTTAAGTTCATGTTATTTAGTAGACTATGCCAGATACATAATGCATTTTAGAATTTTGTTAGCCATAGTTTTTTCAATCACAAGAGAAAGAAGCAAGTAAAATTATTTTTAAAATATTTTATTCAATATAGTATATCTAAGATAACATAAACTCAATATAAAAACTTAGATTCTTTTACATTATTTTTTGCCCTTTCTTCCCTGTCTTTTTAGCACTTAACTAGATGTGTGACCTTGAGTAAAGTCTGTTCATCTGTAAACCTTAGTGTCTTCATCTATCAAGTAAGTTACAGTTGGTCTGGGTTCTGAGAAGTTGGGCTGTGGTTCAAAATGCTGTTGCTAGAGAGAAGGTTTCTATGAGATTAGCAGGATTAGATTTATTATTCAATTCCTACATAAAAGTGTCAAGTTTACTATTGGGTTTGAGTAGGCACCAAGAAAAAGGGTGTAGTACTAATAGTGTATTTCAGGTCTGTACACCATGCTAAGTGCTTAATGTGTATTAAGTCTTTTAATTCTCAGAGTATCCAATAATTTAGCTTCTATTACTATTAGTACCCTCATTTTACATATGAGGACATTAGGCCCCAGAGAAGCTAAATAGCTTGCTCTAAGGTTACAGAGCTAGTAGAGGTAGAATCACAGTTTCATCTCTTGGTGTGACTCTGGATCTAGACTTTGACTCCTGCTTTCATTGAGAGATGGTATGGTGTTGTCAGTTCATTATGGAGTATTTCATAGTTTTCTTCTTCCATACATGCTTTCCATACAAGTGTAAGCTACTGATCCTGGTCTATAGCTGTTAGTCTTACTGATATGTTCATTGAGTTTTCCCAGGTAGGAAAGAAATTACTTCATATGCTGCAGCTGTCAGAAATCACTTTTAGAAGTTGATTTAGATCAGGTAAACCTAATACAAAAGTATTAATGGAACTTTAAAAGTATCTATAGTTTATTCATTTATTTATTTTGTTTTTCAAGATGGTGTTTCTCTGTGTGACCTTGGCTTGCGCTGTAGAACAGACTGACCTTGAACTCAGAAATTATCACCTCTGTCTCCGAGTGCTGGGATTAAAGGTGTGAGCCACCACAACCCAGCTTTAGTTTTAATAGGTATGTAAGAGCATTGCATATCTATACAATCATATAAAAAGCAGAAAAACAAATGGCAGAATTATGCCTCAAAAGTTCAGAGATTATGTTTAATGCTTTCTTTTTTTTTTTTTTTACAGAGACAGAAGGCTAAGAAATCTTAAGTAACTAACAGGTATTTCTGTTCTAAGACTTATTTAGGACGCTTGGCTATAAGTAGACGTCAGCTCAGGTAATAAAAAGAGACTTTATTTCAAGAACATAAAGATTTCTTTCAGATCTGAATATGGGGACTGGGAAATGAAGATGCTTAGAAGAAGCACTCTTTGTACTCTTGTCTAGGCTTTCTTCCTTCTCAGTTGACTGCATTTTAGTGATAATTAGGCCACAGGTGGATGCCTACAGCTGCTTTTTGACATGTTTTAATTCTAGTCATACATAGTGTACATCCCCTTTTCCCTTTCTCCTGTCCCTTGCCTTTCTAGATTTCTTGACAAAGTGGTATTCATCTTGATTCATGTTTCCCAAGTGGATCTTACCATATGTGATTGGGGCTATCACCAAAGTGGAGTCTACCTGCTAGGAATTCTAGGCAGGCTAGGCAAACAGGAATGTACCTAGTGTTCAAGACAGGGGGCCTGCTCATGTCTTTAGTGGGTTTTTTTGGTGGGGGGACAGGGAGTTTCCTATTCCTTTATTGCCATATGGTTTTCTGCCATAGTTAGGTGTTTTGATTATTTTTTTAGACCACTTCTCAACACTATAGGCCAGGATGGTCTGCAATTTGTAGCAGTCCTATTGTCTCAGCTTTCCAAGTAGCTGGAATTATAGGCATGACCCACCACACTTGGGGCTGGATTACTTTTTAATATCTCCTGCAAAGGAACCGTAAGCCTGAGGCAGGCTTGAAGTGCATGGCCTGTCTGAAAACAAAAATACCCTCCAAAACAACTTCAGTACCTGCTTTATTTTTGGTGCATAGGGATTGAGTCAGGATAGGGATTGAACCTGGGGCCTTGTACATGTTGAGCTGTATTGCTGATGTGTATTGCAGTCTACATATCTACTTTAAATTTTTTCATTTAGAGGCTGGAGAGGTGGTTCAGGGGTTAGGAGCACTTGTGCTCTTGCAGAAAATGAGTTTGGTTCCTAAAACCCATATGGTGGCTTACAACCATCTGTAACTCAGTTCCACCCGTCTAGTGCCATCTTCTAAACCAGGCATACTCATGATGCACATGTTCATGCAGTCGAAATACTAGTATACACAAAATAAATAAACCTTAAAATGTCTTTTTCATTTAGATAATGTTTTTTTTCATAAAGGTGAATATACCTGTTTGAAACCTTTCTATGTAGTAGTAACTATTGCATACACTGGATCATTTTTCCTTCCTTCCTTCCTTTATTTATTTATTTATTTTTGGTTTTACGAGACAGGGTTTCTCTGTATTGTTTTGGAGGCTGTCGGTCCAGCCTGGCCTCTAACTCACAGAGATCCGCCTGCCTCTGCCTCCTGCGTGCTGGAATTAAAGGCGTGCGCCACCACCACCTGGCTCCTTCCTTCCTTCCTTTATTTATTTTTTAATCTTTTTTTTTATTCATTTATTATGAATACAACATCCTGCTTCTACTTATGCCAGCAGGCCAGGGGAGGGCACCGGATCTCATTATGGATGGTTGTGAGCCACCATGTGGTTGCTGGGAATTGAACTCAGGACCTCTGGAAGAGCAGTCAGTGCTCTTAACCTCTGAGCCATCTCTCCAGCCCTCCTTCCTTTATTTTTAAGCAGTGTTGAAGATTGATGTCAGGGCTTTGTGCATGGTAGGCAAGGACTTTACTGAGCTCCAGCCCTTAGAGATGAGCTTTCTGATATGAGATAAAATATATAATAATTTAGGCAATGTCAAAATAACAGAAACAGTCTATTCATAGTATATGAATGGTAATGTCTAGGCTTTGGATGTTAAATTTTCATTGAATGTGATTGGTATATATGGATGATCAATGATAGTTGGTAACCATGACCCTGAGACCCTACCAGAATTTTCATCCAGTTAAATTTGTTATGGTGTTTTACTTGGTAATATAGTGGTAGCTTCCTACTACAGTGATTATCCAGACCCCATGCTGTTTGAGGTTACTTTTGTTTCTAATATTTTATTTTTGTACATATACCTTATAAATATCTGAGCTAATTAACTTTTAAAAATGATTCAGACAAGCCTACGATGGTGACGCATGCCTTTGATTCTGGTACTCCAGAGGCAGACGCAGGTGGATCTCTGAGTTCAAGGCCAGTTTGGTCTACAGAGTGAGTTCCAAGACAGCCACAGAGTGACACAGAGAAACCCTGTCTCAAAAAACCCAAAACAAAAACAAAACAAAAATTCAGAGGAGACAAAATTGATGGATTATATTAGTAAGTAGCCTAGGTTGGCCTTGAACCCTCTGTAACCATACTGGCCTCAAACTCAATCTTCTTGCTTCAGCTTTCTGAACACTAGAATTGTTAAGTTGCTTACTTACTTTGATCTTTAATATGCAAATTAAAATCTGATAAGTATTATATTGTCTAGAATACTCCCCTATACACAAAAGATAGCCCTCTTTTGTCCTATGTTTTTCAAACACAATTTCACATTAAAAACACTTTTAGCCAGTCATGGTGGTGCATACCTTTAATCCCAGCACTTGGGAGGCAGAGGCACGAGGATCTCTGTGAGTTTGAGACCAGCCTGGTCTATATAGCAAGCTTCAGTACAGCTGGGGCTACATAGAGACCCTGTCTTAAAAAAATATTTAAGAAATATTTTTTAAAGATTGTTTTTGCCTTTTTATTTTTAATATTTGGACAAGGTCTTAACGCATAGCCATGTTCGGACAGGAGGCAGAGGCAGGTTCAAGACCAGCCTGGTTTGCATAATGAGTTTGTAGCAAAGGATGACTTTGAACTCCTGACGCTGACTTCCACTGAGATTACAGGTATATGCCACCACATCTAACTCAGAACTTTTTCTTATTAACATTCATTTGTTCCATGAACTTAGGCTGGGTTCAGTACTGATTAAATAGGTTAAAAAGTCAAAGAAGCTGAAACATAGTGTTAACGACAACATATTGAAGCAGTAGGAAATCTAGTGATCACCTCCTCACAGGAGAGTGGAGGAGTGGTGCCTTAGTGTGTGTGAACACTGTCTTTTTCCCCTTAATTGCATCCGTTGTACAGAGAGGTTTCCTGATTTGTTTTTGTTTGTTTGTTTGTTTTTAGAGACAGTGTTTCTCTGTGACTTTGGAGGTTGTCCTGGAACTCGCTCTTGTAGACCAGGCTGGTCTCGAACTCACAGAGATCCACCTGCCTCTGCCTCCCTAGTGCTGGGATTAAAGGCATTCCCCATCACCGCCTGGCTTGAGGTTTCCTGATTGGTACACATAATGTAGTACCCGGCACACAGGTATTTTTCCTTTAGTAAATAAAAGGGAAACAATGGTAATAGAACAGTGAGATTGGCAGGTGTTGTCTCCAGAAGGAGGAGATAGAGCAGGTGACAGGAGTCAGATATGTTGCCAGTTGCTTTGTTGGAAGGGCTCTTGTTCAAAACCCCCAACCAGAGGAAAAAAGAATGGAGATTGGGTCCCAGCATTGTCACTTGGCAGGGTTTCAGAGCCACTGATGTTGGCTGCTACATCTTCTGATTGTGTTCTCCAAGCCTGATATGATAGCTCAAACATAAAATTCAAGGAGTTCTAGACTGTTTTTAAAGTGGCTATACTGTGGGGCTTATGGTGTACATCTGTAATTCTCTGGAATACAGACAGGGTTTCTCTGTGTAACAGCCCTGGAATTCCTGGAACTCGCTTTGTAGGCCAGGCTGTCTTTGAACTCACTGAGATCCACCTGCATCTGCCTCCCAAGTGCTAGGATTAGAGGTATGTGCCACCATGCTTGGCTTCATTTCTTAATTATGCTGAGAAGGATGTTAATCTGAGACAGGAAGATGCTGTGAGTTCACGGCCAGCCTAGACTGCAAAGTGAGACTCTGAAACCCTGTCTCACAACCATTCCTCCTCCAATGAATATAATATTTCAGAGATTTGTTCATATAAATTATGCTTGGTTGATAACATCTTTTGATTGTGTATCAGTACTCACCAGTAGGAAATGGCCTATAGTTGTTCAAAGAAATAACTGTCTGTAGACACTGAAGGTCTACCTTAAAACTAAAAGATGGATCAGCATAATTTTTGTTTAGCAGGATGGTATGTAAGACAAAGAGGCAAGAAAAAATGGAAGCTCTGCAGGAGTTGTTGATTTGGTATGGGAAAGTATAAGATGTGAAGATTAGATATGATATGACAAATGAAGAATGTCAGTAGCTGTGGTGGTAGATAGAGGCTTATGATCCTATACTTGGGAGGCTGTAGCGAGCTGCCAGTGTGTTCGCAGCTACAGTGCTAGCATACTTCATGATCCGAGGCGCAGGATAAAAATAAAGACAAAGGCAGCGGCTCATTCTTACAAGGAGAATGGCATTTATTATTACAAGGGTAGAGCTTTATATACCAAAGTCAGGTATGGTGGAAAAACACCCAAGGTCAGAAGCCTAGATTACCAGGGACCTCCAGCAAAGGGTGGGCCAAAAACAGGAATTAGCTTTTAGGCAATAAACAGGAACTTGCATGCAGGCCTTACTGGGAGGAGAGGCCGAGAAGTGTTTTGCTAAAAACTCCTAGTAACAAACAGTCAACAGACCCCCATGGGGGAAGGGTGCAACAGGAGGCAAAAGGCCTGAGTTTTTGACTGATTTGGGCTATTATGGCTTCTTTCTTTAAAAGGAGCAATGTTAATTAGGAAGTTGATAGTTTGGATTTCAGATGTGTACTAGTTCTGAATGAGGGCATACCTTGAGGGTTTGCAGTGGAATAAGGGAGATTATATAGGAGTTGAGGGATACTGGAAGCTATGACATGGTTTTTGTGGGGTCTCTATGTGAATGCTGAATAGGTACATGTAACTCAGCTAGATGCCAGTTCGTTAGGTGGGAGAGTGATTGATCAAGAGGTATGTAACAAGAGACAACAGAGGATGGATTTTTCTTATCACAAGTCCCAAGTTTTATTTAGGAAAGGGATGGTAGAAAGTTAAGGAAAGGATTAGGAATATCTGTATGCCTTAGAAGAATATTTTTTAAGATGGGTGAAAGTGAGAATAGAAGCAGAATGTCTGGAAGGTGGGAATTTGAGGAAAAATATTTAAATGAGGATGGAGAAGGAACTTTGGGACCAACATGTACATGTAAGGATATTTTTGTGTAACAAAGCAAGGTTCCACAGGGCACAATGGAAGGAGTTGTGAGGGCATTTGGGGATGGAGAAATCATTAGAGGGGAAGCAAGGAACTGTGTGAACATACAAAGAGAAAAACAAGATAGACAAGGACCTGAGGTAGATCTTAGTGAGAAGAAGAAAATTATTTCAGTTCATAAACAGAATAGATTAAATCAGTTTATTTTTTCTTTGTTTAGGCCTAGTTTATTTTTCTTATTCATATTTTTATAATGCTTGGAATTGAACCCAGGGCCTGCATACTATAAATATGCATTCTACATCTAAGCTATGGCCCTCATAAATGTAATTTGGTCTTTCTTTCTATCTCTTTCTTTCCTTCTCTCTCTTTCTTTGCCTCCCTTCCCCCTCCTCTCTCTCTTTTGTTTTTTTGAGACAGGGTTTCTTTGTGTAGTCCTGGCTGGCCTGGAACTCGCTCTGTAGACGAGACTGGCCTCAAACTCACAGAGATCTGCCTGTATTTTGAGACAGGGTCTCACTTTGTAGCTCTGGCTGGTTGGAACTTGATATATGGCATGGCTGGCCTTGAACTCAGATCCACCTGCATCTACCTCCTTGAGTGTTGGGGTTAAAGACATGCCTCCATGCCAGCCTCCTGTATCTAATTTTAATTGTACTGTGTTAGCTTAATTTCTTTTTGTTGTTGTTCTTTTGAGACAGGATTTCCTATAAGTAGCAGCCCTAGCTGCCCTGAAACTCACTCTGTAGACCAGGTTGGCCTTGAACTCACAGAGATCTACCTGCCTCTGGCTCCCAAGTGCTGGAATTAAAGATATGCACCACCATACCTGTCTTAATTTCTTAACTATGTGGAAATTTGTTTGCTTTTATTTAAAGATTATATATTTTAGATATAAAAGCATTCATCTTTTTTTAAAAATGAGGTTAATGAGGTAAGTATAAAAGAAATGTCTCTTAAAACTTATAACCCGGGCTCATCATTTTATTATCTGTCCTTCTAGATTTTTTCTCATCTGAACAGATACATATCTAATTTACTTTTGAAGGTATAATCAGTATACCGTGGTAACATCCAATAAACATCTTTTGTCAGAATAGGCAGATTGCTACCACCACTCTTACCTGTTATAGTAATCTACCATTAGACTGTACCATATTTACTTATTAATCTGTTGTCAGACTTGTTTTTGTTTTAAAGAGTGTCCTGTTATGTAGCTCTGACTGGTCAGAACTTAATGCAGTCCTCCTGCCTCTGTTTCCCGAGTACTGCTTAGATTATAGGTATGTGTCATATACCCCGCAAGTGTCAAGCTTTTAAGTCATTTTTTTGTAGACAAGGAAGGTCTGTCTTTGTAGCCCAAGACAGGAGCTGGTCTGGAACTTGCTGTGTAAATCAGGCTGACTTTGAATTCTCAGCAGGCTTTGCTTATCACCCCCACTTACACCCTTTTCTCCCTCCTTCCTTTTCTTACTCCATCATGTGCAGGCTGGCCTGGAACTCTGCATTAGAGTGATGTTTTTCTTTCAGCCTCTTGAGCTGGAACTACAAATGCATGCTGCTGTGCCAGATACTTCATAGTAGTTTATTATAAATAGTTCTAAGAATTTATCTGCACAACTTGGCATGTTTATCCAATTACTTTCTTTGGGTGAATTTCTAGGAATTTTCAAATTTGGCTTTTTTGTATAATTTGCTTATGAAATCTTTTGTACTCCTAATTCTGGGGCATATATATATATATATTTGATGAATTGCCTAAAGTAAGTCAGATGGGTGTGTATTGTTTGTAAGTTAACAGGTTACCATTGTTTGATAGATATATCTTTAGAAGAGTCTCTTCACCAGGTAGGAAGCCAAAAGCATTAGCTTGGAAACTTTCATAGAAGATTACTTTCTCTCTAATGGTTTGTATACTTTAAGAGTTTGCCAGTAGATCTAAGATATTATAAAAACTGTTACAGCTTTTAATAATAACCTTCTGAATGCATGAACATGATTAATACCATTTTCTTTAATTACTGTTTTACAGGTGATTCATGGCAGGGGACGTGGAAGGTTTCTGTTCTTCCATCCATGACACCAGTGTCTCTGCTGGGTTCAGAGCACTGTATGAGGAGGGATTGCTTCTTGATGTCACTCTGGTTATTGAAGACCATCAGTTCCAGGCCCATAAAGCACTCTTGGCCACCCAGAGTGATTACTTCAGAATTATGTTCACAGCAGACATGAGAGAACGCGATCAGGACAAAATTCATTTGAAAGGTCTAACAGCTACCGGTTTCAGCCATGTTCTTCAATTTATGTATTATGGAACTATAGAACTGAGTATGAATACTGTTCATGAAATCCTTCAGGCTGCAATGTATGTTCAGCTTATAGAAGTGGTGAAGTTCTGCTGTTCTTTTCTGTTAGCCAAAATCTGCTTAGAAAATTGTGCAGAAATTATGAGACTCTTAGATGATTTCGGTGTTAACATCGAGGGAGTCAGGGAGAAGCTGGACGCCTTTCTGCTAGACAACTTTGTGCCACTCATGTCCAGGCCTGACTTCCTGTCCTATCTGAGCTTTGAGAAGCTCATGTCTTATCTGGATAATGATCATCTGAGCAGGTTTCCAGAAATAGAGCTGTACGAGGCTGTGCAGTCTTGGCTGCGACATGATAGACGACGATGGAGACATACAGATACTATCATTCAGAACATCAGGTTTTGTTTGATGACTCCATCCAGCGTTTTTGAGAAGGTTGGTGCATTTGAAAGCAATAGACAGGATTCCTCAATTAGTTAAAGATGTTGTTATAGATAAGATTCCTAGAGTTGGTCAAGAGTCAAAAAAAGGAGTAGTTTATAAGAATATTTTATATATAAGAAACTGATGTTGTTATATCTTATGCATTTAGGTGTTTTTAAAATACATTTTGTGGGTGAAGGGTAAACCAGGTAGGTAGTAGAATAGTTCCACCTTTAAAGTATTTTTAAGGTTGGATGATAATGTGATGCAAATATTACATATTTGCTTTAGCTTTTCTTATTATGAACTGGGCTAGATTATTTTTAAAAGTTAATTTAAGTAATTCAGTGCTAGAATTGGCATTGAGGATTTTTACAATTCTACGTGATACATATACATTAAATCTATTTTATTTAAAATGCAATAAGGGCATATACAATAGCTCTTGATGACTAGTAGGCCACTGAGTCTTCCATACTCTTGCTTATTTCGGTTCCCCATTTCACTGTGAATACTAACTAAATTTATCCATGAAACCAAGATATATATCTAAAACCATTTTGCTGCTTCCAAACTAGTTGACCATAAATCCTCTATGTACATTCATCAGTCATCCCTATGTACATTTTATCATTTAAATGGTTCTATTTTAAAATACTGTCTCTAAAACAGCCTTGGCCTTTTTGCAAGCATCTTCATTTTTATATCAGAGTCTCACTTGTGATCCATTCTTGCCCGAAGGAGAGAGAGCAGCTTCAGTAATTGCTTAACTTAATTGGTTTCTAATCACATGGTTACCTCTGGGGCTCTGTTTACCTCTTGCATCTTTTCTTCTTTCTAGAAAGCACACAAAACTTGGTCAACAGACACCCTTCATGTTAAAACATTCAGCTTTAACTAACGGACTGTGTGAAAAATAATCTCTGAAAAGGAGGTTTGTTTATGCCATTTGATAAATAAACAAATTTGGACCTTTGAATAACACTCAGCAGCCTGGCATGTTTCCCCCCCCCCTTCTGAACTGCTATTAAATGTCATTATCTTTAATAGAGAATTTTATGGAATTTTATCTTTATTCTCAAAATGTATTAATATGACAGACATAATTGAAACTAAATCATATGTTTTTGTTCAGTAAGAACCAGCCCCACATCAACTATGTAAACCATTTGCTGATTATGTTGTTGATTTTTTTCCTACCTTTACTATTGTTTTTATTGCTCTCTTTCCCTGGGGATTCATGTTTTGTCTTTATACATTAAATGAGGATGCTTTCTCACTACTAAAACAGAGCCCCCTGCCACCTAGTTTCGATCTAGATTGAAATAGAAAATATTTGTGAAATAGAAAATAAAATTTCATCTCTTGTGGGACATTATAATGGTTAACTGATAGCAGTTAATGATTTGTAAATGCTGAGCTGCTAGGCTAGCCTGCATTTCAATTATCAGTTTTCAAGGTAGACAGTTGTTACAGTGACTAAAAGGTAATGCTATTGGGTAGTTGTTTAACAGTTGAACTTGCTGATTTCCTTTTACACCTATGGCATAACAGTGGTTATCCCCATTGGCTAAGCATGTGGTTTTTATCAGGATAAAAATTGTATTAAGCCTTCTTTCTGGAACTACTTTCTTAGGAAGACTTAAGACCCAGTTGAGAAATTTTTCATTCTTTTATAATATAAAATCTTTCACTTTTACTTTAGTAATACTAGTAAGCTTGCCTTAATAGTGTGTGAGATTTAAGTTTATCAAAGCAATCTGTGGCTTTTTAAATGTTGAGATGCACTTCAGTTATGCAGATTAGAGACCTTATCTCTAGAAATACAACTTTAGAAACTAAACCAATATGGAGAATTTGGTTGGCAAATACATATTTAGATGTGGTTTGGCATGGTGGTATACACCTTTGATCCCAGCACTTAAGCAGAGGCTGGATAATAGAGATACCCTGTCTCAAAACAAAGAGTTTAGTTATTATACATTTTATATTTCTAACTCGTTAGAAATAGTATCCATATATTTTCCTTGTATTCAGAACATTGCAAGTCCCATACAAGAGCATTAAAAAAACATGGCTTATATATGCCTGGTCCTAGAGTGGGCATAAAAGTGTAAAGGTAAATTCATGCTGGTCCTTTTTTAGTAAGAGAGTCTCCAGGGGCAGGAAGTGTAACTATTTTTGATTTGTGGTTTTTACCCCATTTGCTGAAATTTATAAAAATGGATATTTTTCTTCAAGTAAGGGTTTTACTGTATCCCAGGCTGGGCTTAAACATATTATAGAGCCCAGGCTGGCCTGACACTCAGGATACTCTGCCTCAGCCTTCTCAAGTTCAGGGATTATATGCACATGCCACATCTGGCAGGGAGTGTTTATGGCCTTGTTTTAGCTTTTATGTGTTTTACATTTTCTGTTGTAAATTTACTTAAACATAAAAATAGAGTGATCACTTGAAACAAACATACCAAGTTAATAGTTGTTAACATATGTGCTATATAGGTAGAGATTGTATAGTCTTTTGTATGTGATTTTTTTTCTCCTCCCTGAACTGGTTCAAGGAATGTTGTAGAGCCAGGCAGTGGTGGTGCATGCCTTTAATCCCAGAATTTGGAAGGCAGAGGCAGACAGATCTCTTGAGTATTAGGCTAGCCTACCAGGGCTACACAGAGAAACTGTTTAAAAAAATAAAACAAAAGAATGTTGTAGACATTGTGGCCATTCATCCCTAACTGCTTCACCTATCATTTCCCAAGATTAAGGATATCATCCTGCATAACCAAAATACTATTGTCATCCCCAAGAGAGTCAACAATATTTCTTTAGTGTCATGCAACATCTAGGCCCTTTTCTGTTAGCTCAAAGGTATCTTTTTTTGGTTGCTTTTCATGAACTGAATTTTATTCAAGGTTTGCACAGTACATTTGATTGTATTTGTTTTGAGTTTGAATTGTCTCCCCCTTCCCTCATTTGTTATAAGGATATTTTAACATGAGAAGTTGAATGACTAGTGTAATAAACACTTGTACAGTGTATAGCCATTGCCTAGATTCAAGAACTCTTACATTTGACACGTTTGTTTCCTAGCCTTTGAAAATAAGTTGTAAACATCAAGATACCTCACTCTTAAATACTTAACTATATTTCTCCTATGAGTAAGGATTTTTATTTATTATTATTATTATTACTATTATATTTTTACCTTACAAGTGATACTAAGATCCATCATCAAATTGCTAATGGATATTCTAGTTTTTGCAGTTGCTTGTAAGATCCACTAGAATCCAGTGTTCATACATTGCTTTTTGGTCATTATGTATATCTAAGCTTTCTTAATCCACAGTAGTCTCCATCTTTCTTTTGTTTTTCTTTCCTTTCTTTTTTTTTGAAAGCTTGACTGTTCATTGATTGTCGCAGTGCATTTCACATTCTGGATATATTCTAGATGTATCTGATTATTTCCTTGTGTTGTTAACTTAGTTTCTTCATACCCCTTGTTTCCTAGTAACACATCTATATTTTAGAATCATGTTTTTTCATAAACAATTTACAGGAAAATACTGTAATGTCACAGGAAAAACTTGGAAAACCATTTGGCTGTTCTGATTAGGCTTAGAAATCACCATTTTTTTGTATTATGACTCCTGTGATGAAAACCAAAAATTTTATTCACTCTGTTCTGTGTTAAGTTTCTTTTAGAGTAATAAAATTTCTCTCCCTTAAAGAGAAAGTAGAATACTTCAGTTTAATTGGAGTTAAAATTATATGAAGGGCTAAATTGAAAGAGTACTTCTTGAAAAAAAAAATGAGCCTGGGCCTTCAGTCTGTAGTATAAGCTTAGCATGCACTATATTCAGTTTCCAGTACTACCCAAATCGGGTATAACTGATTTACCTGTATAATGAGGATAACATTGAGCTTCACTGTTCAAAGATTAAGACAACATTAAAGCAGAGCTGGAGAAATGGGTCAGCAGTTAGGAGCACTGGGTGTTTTTTCAGAGACCTGGGTTCAATTCCTAGCACCTACATGACAGCTCACAACTGTCTGTAATTCAATTTCCAAGGGAATCCATGGCACCAGGCATGTTCGTGGGGCACATATATGTATGCATTCAGGCAAAATACATATACACATTAAATAAATAAATCTTTTTTAAAGGCAACAAAAAGGATGCTTCTTATCTCAAATTTACTTTAGAACTAAGAATAAAACCTAGGACCTTAGTGGATTCTAGTAGGTGCTCTACTACTGAACTATATCCCTAGACTTAAATAATTTTGAGATTGATTACATGTTGAAATTACACTTTGGATATATTGAGTTAAATATGTTAAAAAAATTTCACCTTTTGTGGTTTTTAAAGTGTAGTGGTAGCACATGTAAAATTGCATCTTTTGATTTGCATTTGTCATTTGGATTATATTATTATAGCAGAATATTGCTCTAAAGTTAAGGAACTGAGTTTTCATTAGCAACTCTGAATATGCATATAGTAATATTTATGCCCCTCTCCCTAATTCTTACCCTTTGGTTATGTTTATATACAGTTAGTGTTTTTTTCTTTAAGATTTTATTTGTATTTTTATTTGCATTGGTATTTTGCTTGCATGTATGTCTGTGTGAGGGAGTTGGGTCCCCTAGAACTGAAGTTATATAAGAGAGTTGTGAACTGCCATATGGGTGCTAGGAATTAAACCCAGGTTCTCTGGAAAAGTAGTCAGTGCTCTTAACCACTGAGCCATCTCTCCAGCCCCTACAGTTAAAGAACTCCCAGTCCTAAAGATTCATGGTGTGGTTAATAAAGATTAGCTGTTAATGAGTGTAGTATCTCTTTTTGTCATGATCCTTTTTCTGTCTTCAGAAAAATAAACACCTATACAAAGTTTTGGGAAGAAGCTTCTTCCTGTAGCAGTAGTTATCAGATCTGAGCAATGGCATCTTAAAAGGAAAAGAAGTATTCTGTTTCTCCGAGAGGAGCTCCACCCAATCCGATCTCAGGAATCTGAATA